CCTGTAGTTTAAGTACTGCTTATATTGGTAGATGAAAATATATACTTTGTACAATTAAATAATTAAAATTAAGAATTTAAATTTTTAAAACTAACACACACAAAATTATCAAAATATTGAATTTGACATAGATAATTATTAATGATTGTTTGGTGCTACTGGGCCTCAAATACCGAGCCTGGAACCCAATAGGTATATATACTTTGTACAATTAAATAATTAAAAATTAAGAATTTAAATTTTTAAAACAAACACACACAAAATTATCAAAATATTAAATTTGACACAAATAATTATTAATGATAGTTTGGTGCTACTGGGCCTCAAATACCGAGCCTGGAACCCAATAGGTATATATACTTTGTACAGTTAAATAATTAAAAATTAAGAATTTAATTTTTTAAAACAAACACACACAAAAATATCAAAATATTGAATTTGACACACATAATTATTAATGATAGTTTGGAGCTACTGGGCCTTAAATACCAAGCCTGAAACCCAATAGGTATATATACTGTGTACAATTAAATAATTAAAAATACAATTAATTTAAAATTTTAAAACAAACACACACAAAATTATCAAAATATTGAATTTGACACAAATAATTATTAATGATAGTTTGGTGCTACTGGGCCTCAAATAACGAGCATAGAACCCAATAGGTATATATACTTTGTACAACTAAATAATTAAAAATACAATTAATTTAAAATTTTAAAACAAACATACACAAAATTATCAAAATATTTAATTTGACACAAATAATTATTAATGATATTTTGGTGCTACTGGGCCTCAAATACCGAGCCTGGAACCCAATATGTATATATACTTTGTGCAATTAAATAATTAAAAATACAATTAATGGTGTTTAATTTACAGTTGACGACATGGACGCGCCGCCTATACATCCCGGCCCTTACTCTCGTGAGATATTAGTGCTACAGGCAATCATAGGTCCGCCCATATATGGGAAGGGGAGTTACTGTCCCAGACTCTTCGCGCTAGGAGAGTAGACGACCTGTGGGATTTTTTGAGGCCCAGAGATCTCCACGAGCGTATAGTCCAGCGCCTACAAGATACGAAATTTTATAGGATTATTGAGATCGGGCGGATGCAGCTCGACTGGGCTTTGATCTCGGCGTTGATTGAGCAGTGGCGATCAAAGACGCACACCTTTTACCTGCCCATTGGCGAGGCCACTATCATACTGTAGGACGTGGAGGTTTTATATGGCCTGCCCGTTGATGGCATGCCCGTTTCACTGCCTATTGCTATGAGATCTATGTCGCGCGATGATTATTGGGACATGCTGCAGGAGCTCACGGGTTTCAGGCCACAGGACGAGACATTTTCGTCGGGTTCCAGTCGATTGTCTTTGACCCCTATTAGACAGTACTTGGAGGTACACCACCCCATTATCACCGACGATACAGAGGAGGTACATATTACCCGGTATACGAGGTTGTTGTTGCTTCTTCTATTTGGAGGGGTCTTGTTCCCGAACACTTCGGGGAACCTAGTCAGCCTGAGATTTCTTCATCATGTTCAGCTGCTAGATGAGTTACCCTATTACAGCTGGGGTGCTACTGTTCTCGCCTACATGTACAGGAGTATGTGATGGGCGATCATGGGCACTCAGAGAGATGTTTGTGGTTTTCTTCCACTTCTACAGGTGACAACATATTCGAATAATCAGTTCATCAGTTCCAACTCTACCTAGTTAGAATTTATCTTAAACCTGACATTAACTTTCTATGTTAGGTTTGGGCCTGGGAGCGGTTCTTGCAGTTTCAGCCACCTCTACCACAATTACCTCGTAATGTAGCACTTCCGGATCTCCCTCTAGCCAGGAGGTGGGTTCTCCGCCGTACACTTTCACGAGAGTATGATTCCCATCATAATCTTCCCATCTGCAGGGATGTGTTGGATCTGCTGGAGGGTGCACAGGTAAATATGTACCTAAACCTACCTGGTATAGATTAACTTAGTGTTGCGCATACTCACGTTTTGTGTTCTTATTTGATAGTTCATCTGGATGTTGTACATCGATGATTTGATAGCTGGCCTGCCAGCTTATTGCTGGGCCGACAGATTGATTTGGAGCACTTCTACCCTGCTCATATGCCTCGATATTGTGGAGCATCATGCCTCGGAGGGGGTACTTCTCTAGTTTGGCCGACCGCAGTATATACCGAGGGGGCCTATATGGGACCCAAGACATTATCAGAGGGATGATCATTGCAGGGTGGACGACGTATTTATAGCATGGTTAGCGGGGCAGATCCATATTTGGGACCATCGAGATCAGATGATTCTGCCCCCAACTACACAGACCCAGGAGGTGGCTATTGAGAGGTATCTGTCCTAGTACCGCCACGTTACCCGACTTTTTATCGGGAACCCTATTCATCAGGCTAGCAGTCAGTACGTTTCACACATTGGACGACGCGAGGCCTTGGTATGTTTTCTATTATTATTAATTATATAACTATAACTTAGTGCAATGTATGTAGTTTATATTTTATACGTTGTGCAGGCTATTGGACTACATATAGTCTATCAGATGGGACTACCGATTCTAGGATTCATTTCAATTAACATGCCTTCCCCATCAACTGGATTTATAGCAAACAGTTTTCACTTTTTAATTTTGAACTAATTAAGCTAAAAATAAAAATGAAATCCTACGAAGGGAAGAGTAACCAAATTTAAAGCAGATTTGTTATATTTTTAAAATAAGAGGTGCTGTGATTTAAACAAGAAACAAATCAATACACAACATATAGAGCAATCAACACCATCACATTTAATTTAAATTCAACCATGGTCCAACCAAATCAGTGTACACCAAGAAACAACATTTCAATGTAAAATATTTACAAATTAACAAAATTCGTCATGGAGATCGAAAGCAGCATAAATTAAGAATAAAGAAATGGAACCTCTTTAAACGACCAACCCGAGACGGTGTACAAGAACTCGAACAGAAAAAATTTCCGGACCAAAACTCGAATCTCGACGGTAGCTCGGACGGAACCTCAAATTGTCGACAAATCGAACGGAACTGAACTGACCCAATGGATGGAGCTAGCGACGTACGAAGGGGCTTTAATGGAACTCGGACTTAACTGAAAAGCCACTGCTTTTCGACGACAACCAAAGAACGAGAAGAAAATAAAAGAAACTTTTCACTGTTGCTACTCTCGTTTCCAGCGAGATCGACGGTGAAAGAAGAAGAACGATGGGGATCGTTCTTAATTTTGGCTGCTGTCGATCTCTCTTCTAGGTTGCTCTCTCATGGCTACTACTTTTTTTGTAGGAGAAGATGATGCTGGGGGGCTGTGTTGTTGATGCCCGAAGAAAGGGGGTCTATTGCTTTTGTTTAAATAAAAAAAAGTGACGATTGGAATTGGGGGTGGGGACCTTTTTTTGTTAATGGGAATGCACTATCTTCCCTTTTTTTCGTATTCTCTTTTTATATTTCCCTATTCCCAGATCTATATCTTTCTTCCACTCTCGTCTGTTCCCCTCTATGTAGTGTGTGTATTATTTTTGGACTGAAGAATAATGAGAAGATGCCTTGTGGTCCCCTTGGCAAAAGAAACGTGAGTGGGAATTGAAGATGGGGTGCATGTGAAGTTTGTTATGTAGAGATAAGGAAGTATTTTGGCAAATGAAAACTTTTGATTGGTTCTTTCTTTTTGTCTTCTCTTTTAAAAACTAATTAAAAATACTACATTACTATTACAAATTAGAAAAACACAAGAAACTATTAAGGAAAAAGTTATAAAATTGCTAGTCTTACCAAAAGTAGACAAAAATATATTTTTGTGAATTTCTTTTCTTTTGCGAATGAAATACATCTTATATCTAAAAGTGTAATTTTTTTTGTAGTATTTTCTTTTCTTGATAATAAATAGTAAGCAAAATGATCTACTCTTGCTAACTAAGTAAAAAAAGCAAGGTAAAATTATTACACTCAAATCTCTAACTCAAAAATTGTACCAAACTAAATAAAACCTTTTCTTTGGTATTTTATTATTATTATTATTATTTATTTATTTATTTTTTTGAAACTTTTCTTTCTTTGTAAATGGCAAATACAACTAATACTCTAAAATATGTAACTCTTTTTTTTTGTAATTTTCGTTTTCGTGTAATAAAAATAAAGTAAAAGAGTAAAAATTAGTTGAAATAGCTATATTAGGCCTAAATTAAATATTTACGTACTAAAATATAAAAAATCTAGGGGAAGGTCAAAAATCACATGTCTACAGTATCCATCGGAGTGTCAACAGGTCTACAACCTGTCATTCATGTCTCCTCAAGAATATCTAAGGCATACTTCCGTTGTGAGATCATAATACCTGAGCTAGACTAAACGACCTCAATACCTAGAAAATACTTTATTCTGCCCAGATCCTTAGTCTGAAAGTGCTGAAAGAGATTTTGCTTCAATTTACTAATACCATCCTGATCATTGCCGGTAATAACAATTCGTCAACATAAACGACCAGATAAATATAGATATTTGAAGCAGAATGTCGATAAAATACAAAGTGATTAGCTTCACTACGAGTCATGCCAACTCCTGAATAACTATGTTGAACTTACCAAACCAGGCTCGAGGAGACTGCTTTAGACCATAGAGGGACCGGCGCAACCTACATACAAGGCCACTAGACTCCCCCTGAGCAAAAAAAACAGGTGGTTGCTCCATATAAACCTCATCCTCAAGGTCACCGTGAAGAAAATCATTCTTAATATCCAACTGATAGAGAGGCCAATGGCGAACAACAGCCATGGATAGAAAAAGGTGGACTGATGCAATTTTAGCCGCAGGAGAGAAAGTATCACTGTAATCGAGTCCCAATATCTGAGTATACCCTTTGGCAACAAGACGAGCCTTAAGTTGATCAACCTGGCCATGTGGACCAACTTTGCTTGCATACACCCAATGACAACCAACAGTCGATTTACCTGAAGGAAGAGGAACAAGCTCCCAAGTACCACTCGTATGTAAAGTAGACATCTCGTCAATCATAGCATGTCGCCATCCGGGATGAGACAGTGCTTCACCTGTAGACATAGGGATGGAAACAGAGGACAAAGATGACACAAATGCACAATGGGATGATGATAGACGATGGTAACTTAAACCGACATAATGAGGATTAGAATTAAGTGTGGACCGTATACCTTTTCATAGTGCAATCGGTTGATTAAGAGGAGACAAGTCCCCAGTATTAGCAGGGTCAGGTGCAGGACATGAATCAGCTGGGCCTGATGCTGGGCGCGGACGACGATGATAAGTCAGGAGTGGTGGAGCTGTAGAAGGTTGAACTGGACTAGGTGGTGGCACTGGAGCTATAGTTGGTGGAACTGGACTAGGTGGTCGCACTGGACTCGGTGGTGGCACTGGAGCTATAGGTGATGGAGCTGCAACTGGAACCGTAGGTGGTGGAGTTATGGAGGAAGATGAATAGGAGATAAGGACTGAATCTCCAAAAGAAGGAACTGGTAGCACCTCAAAAATATCTAAGTGATTAACTGGACCTGTGAAGTATAATTGGGTTTCAAAGAAGGTAACATCAGCAGACATAAGAAATCGCTGAAGGTTAGGAGAATAACATCGATATCCTTTTTGCATTCTCGAGTAACCCAGAAATATGCACTTAAGAGCACGAGGAGCTAACTTATCTTTTCTTGGAGTAAGGTCATGAACAAAACACGTACTCCCAAAAACAGGGGGTGGAAGAGAGAACAAAGGTAAGTGGAAAAACAAGACAGAGAATGGAACTTGATTCTGGATAGTTGAGGATGACATACAATTAATAAGATAACAAGATGTAAAAATCGCATCCCCCAAAAATGCAGCGGAACATGAGATTGTATGAGTAGGGCACGAGCAGTTTCAATAAGATGTATATTCTTTCTTTCAGCTACCCCATTTTGTTGGGATGTGTACGGATAAGATGTTTGATGAATAATCCCATGGGAGTTCACAAACTGCTAAAATGGGGAAGACAAATACTCTAGGGCATTATCACTACGAAATGTGCGGATAGAAACCCCAAATTGATTTTGAAATTTCAGCGTGGAAGGTCTGGAAAATAGAAAACAACTCAAATCGATTTTTCATCAAAAATATCCAAGTGCACCTGGAATAATCATCAATGAAACTGATAAAGTAGCGGAATCTCAAGGTAGAACTGACCCGACTAGGACCCCAAACATCTGAATGGATTAAAGTAAAATGTGACTCTGCTCGATTATCAAAATGCCGTGGGAAATGGGAGCGGGTATGCTTACCGAGCTGACATGACTCACACTCTATAATGGACAAATGAGATAAGCCAGGTTTTTCTGTAGCCAAACACAGGAAAATAAGAATATCTTGTGAAATAGAACTGTAAAGCATTAAACCAAAGGTCTTGTTTCTATGAGATGATTGTGGATTTTAATTTTGACATGACTATTGTTCTGGCTTCACTATTAGATGGAAGTGACTACACCATGTAAGTAAAACATTGGGCAATCATGTTGCCAAATTTCGCAGTACACTAGTTAAGAAAGTGATATGTCATTTTGAGAACATAAGGTGCAACAAAAATAAAAGAAATAAAAACTAGGATTCTTACTGTTCATTCAGCATGCTATCCACACTGCAAAGGATGACGACAACCAAAGGAAGGGGACCACTAGTAAACAACATAATTTCAAAGTTGAGATATATTTGACCATAATCAGAAATACAGACAACAGATCAGCAAACTAAAAGTTCATGATTGAGACGAACTATCATGAGACATTCTCGAAAGCTTCTTTGTAATTTCGTGCAAGTATCATATAGGGTGGGGTATGATACACTTTACTTTCAAGTTATTAACCCACCATTACCACGGGCTGAAATGGCCCAACAAAAAGGAATTAGAGATTCCGTTTACCTAATAATCCACAGTTGATGTGAAAAGATTCGAGCAAAGCCCAAAACTATAAGTGGACAAGTTGAAGAAATTGCACTTCTCAAATTCCTGAAAAATTAAGAGATTATTAAGAAACTGCCAGATTCTTTATTGAAGGAGTAAAAGAAGAGAATCAATTAGATACTATAGACCAGAAATTAAATAACAGTTCTAAACTTCTGAATGAAACAACATGATCTGATTGTACTTCCATTACTTATATCAGAGGAATAAAAGTAATGGAACAGAAATTCTCACATTCATAATGAAGAAACATGATCTGACTGCATGTTTCAATATGAACGCACAGGTACAGGGGAATCAGTTATGTACTGTAACATGGTTTTCCGGAAAAATATTGTTTCTTGATGAATCAAGAGAAAGCATCAAAGGTGACTAGTTGAAAGATATGCTAAGCACCCCAAAGAATCAATTGGAAATTCATGGAATGAAAAGATCATCTAAGAAAAAACACGACAGCGGTGTACCTAATACAGGGGAATCTGTAGCATACTGTTTCCAGAGCTCGATAAAAAGAAATTAATATTCTGAATATTTTGTAGAGCAAAAACATGTGTCATTTTTGTCAGCGCTGCTAAATGAAACCTACTGAAGAACTCCAATACTGATTTCAAACCCCGTAGGCCTCACTCAAACTTATTAGACTCAAACAGAAGATGCAACAAATTAAAGGGAAATGCGTAGTAGTGAAGAGTTAAATGATGTTGAAAAGTATACTTTCAACATCCTTTAGAAATAAAACCCCTTGATAGAAGCTTGAACATAGCAGACAATTAGCAAACTTAGACACAAAATATATGTCACTGTGCAATTCTAAACATATAATCAGCACTAATCTGAAATTATTACAAGAATAAGCCTAGACCTACTTCTTAGCAACGTACAAAGACCACATATAGATAGCAAATTTGTAGGATTTTTCTTTTGATTAATTTACATTCAATATTCATGTATTTATATCTTGTACATTGTATTAGAGACAAGCCCATCCCTATTACTATGCGTCCCAACGGTAGGCCCGAATATTATGTTGTCCAGCTCCAGTTGGTAAGTTTGGGTGTGCAGGGGTGTTAAGTGCCCCACAATGATGGAGGAATGGGTTGTTTGTCTCCTTACATGGGTCTTTGGAAATCCTCATTTTGGAAATCCTCATGAGCTAGCTTTTGAGGTTGAGTTAGGCTCACTGTCCATTTCTTCCCAATAATGAAACTGAAAAGCATTCCACTGGCAGCATCTAAGTTGCGCGGACTCTTCGATTTTGGTGCCGTCCCCGTCCCGATACTAGATGGGGACGGGAGCGGGATACGTCCCGGATTCAGTCAACTGACTTCGGACACTTTGACCAGAGTCCATCGACAAATTTGGGAGAAAATTGAGATTTTGATTTCTCAAAATAAAAAAAAAATAGATTTACGAGAATAAAAGAATAATGTCCATCTTGGAGAATGAAAGAATAAATTCTACAATATTCGTGTTAGTTTTTCACAGTATATCTCTCAAAATTTACAATATTTTTATAGTTCTATTTTTTATTAGCCGAATCCCTGCACCCGTATCCATATTCGGATCCGCACCCCTGAATCTTAAAATTTAGATTTTGCCGAATCCGACACTTGAATCCGTCCCCGTATCGGATATCCGTACCCGAGTCCGAGCAACTTAGGGCAACACCATTCTTTTAATGCCTTCTAATCAATTAAAAATAAAAGAATTCTGTGCATCTTATTTTTTCCATTCAAGCACCTTATGAATCTGATGAAATGCCAAAATGTCAGTGAGTTTTGGACATCAAACATCACATCCAGACCATAAAAAAAAATTCTTTTTGTATGGGATGTTGGTGAGGATGAACATGACGAGGTTTAATTGCATTACCTAATTAAAAGAAAAAAAATTCTTTAGCCATCCACATTCTTTATTAAGGGCATCATTATTGAGTTATCATTGAAGCTTTCTAGGTGCAAACTAAACTATAGAAATTCGGCCTACTACCGTGATTGAGTGGTGCTATTTTCAACTCTAATCAGTTAGCCATAAACAAAGCGTGCAACAAATAAACTAGGGGAAAATATCAAAGCATGGCAAGGGAAAAGTCAGTTCAAATAACAATTCACTCTGCGCTGTATTTATTTTTCTTTTGCTTTCCACCAGCTATTTTGACATGGTTCATTTACATGCACAATTAACCAGCTTGGTTGCCACCGAGAGATCATAGGAGTAATAGCCTGAATACTCTTAAGAGAATTATACTGGGCCTGGTCTGTGTATATATTATCCTCCCCAGACCCCATTTGTGGGAGTACATTGGGTCTGTTGATGTTGTTGTTGTTACTCTTAAGAGAATTAGGCCAAACTATATAGCACCATCTGCAAGAGGTAACATCTCATCAAAGCTCATGATAAAAGTTCAAATCGAGAATCATCACTTACATTTTTGCAATTCCACGTGCTTGCCGTAAAACCAATGCATTTGCCACAATAAACGAACCTACTCCAATGTCCATCTGACATAAGAAGGTAAACATAAGGTGCCTAATTTCAGCTCCATTTTACATTACATAAAAGTTTCATGAGAAAGTATTAAGTTGACAACCAGTATGAAGAACTTAAACAGAAACAATGAATCGATGATGTTGAGCTCAATCCTGTGAGGCTGAAAAATGAAGGAAGAAGCGAGAAAAGAACTTTCATTATGACAACTTGCAAGTAAGCCATTTTTGTGAAAGCTACCCCGGATTCGTTTAACATGTCAATGCCTAAAATGAGACAGAAGAATCAAATTTCAGAACCATACAAGGTAACTTGCTATATTTGGAACAACATGAGTGTAGAAAGAGTAACACTAGCAATGACATAAAACACTCCTTATTTATTCTAGAAACAATCGCACCAAATCATCCATTCTGTTCCTTCCAGAAATAACCCTTAATCTTACAATGGTTTAAATGTCAAACAGAGATTTGCGAAGGATAGCTCAATCCTACTTTTGTAGATTCTTAAAGAAACTTGATGCAAAGAAAATAATAAACTGATGTAATCTAAAACCTAGCTCCAGTTTAGTTAAAAGATCGCTAGAACTGCGTTTAAGTCTTATAACTAAGCAAACTGCAGGTTGGGGTGCTCCGCATCACTCAGGCGGCACATCAGTGCACGCACCATGGTTTTAGTAAAAGTATGGCAAAGAATCCAGATAGTAGTTTACCAAGCCAGTACCATAGGTCTCTGCTTTAGCATATCTTCTAGGAAAGATCTTGAAGTCAACAGCCAGAATACATACGCATGTCAGAAGATTCTGCAGCAATCATCCCTAAAGAAATAAATAGTAACTCCAGAAATGAACGGTGATTAAAGTAGATGAAAGCATTACGTAAATAATGATTATTCTGCATACCATAGAAACCCTATACGCAGATATATTTGTCCTGAGAGATCGGACCCCCTCTTCCTGAGAAACAGAAAATCCAGATCAGCATTGAACATGAAGTACCTTTACATACAAGAAGCCACATGAAATACAAGTAAACAGGTTAATGGAATGGCGATAGAATTCTGGATATCAGATATGAATTATGTGATTGAACACCTTCTAGCTACAATGAAGAAAGTCACCATCAAGGTCATCACAACTGCATTAATATATGTCCAATCTGCCAGAATCTGAGATCGAATGTTATTTTATCTATTATGAATATCAGGTATTAAATGAAGTTGTCAAAACTTAAGATCATTTAGCACGCAGGAAACAGTTACTACATCAACAAATGACAAGAAATAATAACAAGTCAACAACTTAATCTTTTCTCATATTCATTCAGATGTCAAACAAATAGAGAACTTATTGCTTCACTCATTTGACTTGATAAAATGAAACATAACCACTGTTAGTATTATAGCGCAGACGGAGAACACTTACAGTTAAACATAAAATGGCTGGAAAAACAATCCAGAGGACATCAAGAGTCACCGCAGCAAGATATGATCCCATGTTCTTATTACAAACAACCACATTAATGTTATCATCTTTCTTTTTTGATGTTCCAATGTTATCATCTTTCTTCAACAAGGCCTCTGCAGAATTAGGACCTGAATTGAGAAACAGAGACAATAACACTATGTTAGCTTCATATAACTGAAACTGCATGATCAATGCAAACTCCTTATAGAGGATCAGATGCCTAACAAGGGGGGTATAGTGAAAAAGTAATGGACCTAGAAACAAATGAAAAAGAAAAGGAAATGGAAATAAATAGCAACTAGAGTCACAAACGCAGTGTTAGGATTTCTTAAGTGAAACAGTATAACCAATCAAGCACTTATCAGTTTCAGCAACAATGATCACCCTAAAGGGTACAGGTCTTCAAGAAATTTATAGACCACTACAGGACCAACACATTAGTAAAAGATTTTAGTTGTTGTAAAATTGATAAAGACTTAATGTATTTGTTGTTTTCTCCGAGAAGACATTTTTATTTTCACTTAAAGGCGTTACGAGATTGCACCCAAGGGTGTGTTCTAGAGGTCAATGAAGCAAGAGGAGAATTATGAGGTCTCGGGTTCAAATCCCAATGGAGACAAAAACACGGTGATTTCTTTCCATCTGCCTAAGCCTCGGTGGTCAGAGTTACCTGATACCTGTACTACTTGGAGGTGATAGGTACCCGGTGGAATAACCAAGGTGCACGCAAGCTAGCTCGAACTTCACCATCATTACAAAAAAAAAGCATTACGAGACTCACTCACAACTTCATAACTCAGAGCTTGTTTTGGTCAAGTGAAAGGGGTAAGCAATTATTCGTTTGTTCTTGTGTTTGGAATTCTTGCGCTAGGATTTTTTCGTTTCATCCTCTTGTTTCAATTATGTTGTTCAAACTCTCCAAAAATATTGTCGCATCCATGTCGGATCCTTAGTACACTACTTTTGGAAGATCCGACACGCACCCGGCAATATTTTTGAAGAGTCCGAGCAAAATAGGCTTTAATGGCTTTTTTGATCTAGAAAGCTTCCACATCCTCTTTCTCCGCAATGAAAGAGAAATACATATCCTCATAACTTGTTTTAATATGTCCATCTCCTTTCTGTAATTCCTCTTCACATTTGTAATATCTATAAGGCAACTCAACATTTTTCTTTTTGGGGGTTGAAAGAAATTGAGATAACAGTACATTACCAATGTTAGGTGCAATGAATAAGCAAATTTCCACTGCAAGAACAATACAATATCAGATTGTTCTTTTTTTTTTTTGAAATAACGGTAGTGTCTTGACCTGCTTGAGCGCACCTCAACTTCCACCGGGTACTGATTGTTTTTAGCTCCCGTTTGGCCATAGATCCTGACTTCATTTTCTCAAAAGCATATTTGAAAACATTGTTTTTTAATGAAATATGATCATGTTTTGGAAAAAAAAAAAAAAATCAAAATTCCAAGTTCCCGAAAAACTGGTTTAGGGCAGTTTTGGGTGACAATTTTTCTTCCACTCACAAAACCTCAACTTTTCTTCAAATAAAATGCATGTCCAAACACAACTTCAACTTTCAAAAATTATTTTTCAACACGACTACAAAAACTCTTTTTTTAAGTTTCAATCAAATCTATGTCCAAACGCTAACTTAGTTTCTAATGACCGCTTGAGAAAGGCCACACTAATGGTATTTCCTCAATAAAGTACATTCGTTGCTGCTTGGTTTCATTCAGAACCTTTACATGAGAAATAGACCTGAGGTTATACGAAAACTCTATTTTCCCAGTTTTATTCCTTCAAATTTATTCCAAGTCCCGTTCACTTACTCTGAACATGTAGTCTAGAATATTTAGCCTACTTTATTTTAAGTATTCATACTCTTCCCAAACTAATCATTAGTCCAAGAGAGTGTCCATAGTTCTGCCAACTGAAAGACCCAAAGCCCTTCAAAAAGCCTTTTCACAGACCCCAGTACAATAATGACTTATTAACATACTGATAACTTGATAACTTGTTAACATGAGGTCTCCGGCTTCAAAATTTGCTCTTTCAATACTAATTTGTCTTAAAGTATTTTGCATGACAGCAAAGAGATATGCTCAAAAGCTGCATTGACTTAATTATTTCTTGTTAGTGGATCTAGTTGAGCTTTTTTCGCCCAAAAACTAAGAACCAGTAGGATGTCTTTTTGGAGGATAATAAAAATGAGTCTTTAAAATTCTAAGAGTTTATTATTTGATTCCAAAGCAACTCTATCACTATGAAAGACAGAAAATAACACAGTGGGTGATTGAATTTGGAATTATGTCCAGTCCTTTCTTTACTCTCTATCAGTCAAAATATAACAAAATAATAACCTTCTCTGTTTCTTTTGTTCAAAAATGACAGCAAATATTCAGATTCCAATAAAAAATTAATCCACCAAAACAAAAACAAAAGCTAGGTGATTTTCTACCATCAATCTAAGTCTTGATGGACAACTTTACGGGTTACCTATGCTGGCAGAAGACTAAATAAATTAGTCAAAGTGCATGCAAGCTAGCCCAAACACTATCATTATAAAACTAAATAAGCAAATAGAAACTATAAGCATTAAAATTTTATCGAATTTAAATCGATAAAATAATATGGACTATATTTTAATATGCTAGTCCAAATAAATATTATTGGGCTAATGTAATTGAATTAGTTATATAAGTCCAATATATATGGATTAAATAAATAAGTCTTAATCCATTGGGCTAGGTGATGAGCCCACTTCATTAAACCCAAAATGTCATCTTCCTAGAGGCCCAGTTTGGTGCCACGTGTCAAATGACGTGGCGCGCCAAGTCAAGCGGAAGAGCCAATAGGACCATGCCACGTGTCAAAATGACAAGGCATGTCCAGTCACGCTAAAAGGCCAATGAAATCGCGCCACGTGTGCAAGTGACATGTTCTGGCCAATCAAATGCAGCCATGTCACACTTCAATTTGATTGGTCGGAAAGAGTTTGTTCTTATCACAACTCTTCCCTTCCACAACTATAAATAGGGGTCTTCATAACTCAGAAAAGACACCAGAAGTTATAACAAGAAGCAAGAAAGAGCTCGTGGATCAAACGCTGCAAATTCCTCCACAAGTTTCAGGCTTCAAGTTCAAGTTCAAGAAATCAAGTGCAAGTTCAAGAACGAAGAACAAATCAAGGTCAAGTTCAAGCAATCAAGCTCAAGAACAAGATCATCGTTCGAGGCAACAAATACATATTCAAGATCAAGCTCAAAGGCCCTTGAATTTATTTACTATTGAAAAGTAGAATCACAGGATTTATAGAGATTGTACACTCATATTATTCGAAATAAAATACTACGATTGTTGCGATATTTTTCGGTCTTGATTTTATTTCTCGACGCAAATTTATTGTCTACAAATTCTGGCACGCCCAGTGGGATAATCTCTACCTCTCATCTCAACTTTAAAATCACCAAAGTTCAAGAACATTGAAATGGCTTCGAAGAAAATCAACTCCAAATCAACATCCACCAAGGCTGCTAACTCCAGTTTCTATGCTGATGTGGAAAACATCCTCGATGTCACCTTTGGAAGCTTCGGACCAGTTACGAGGAGCAAAACAAGCTCTTTAGGACAACAAGCACCCCAAGTGTCGTCCGCATCAACCCCTATTTTCGANGATGTGCATCCAAGGCATGCATTGGGGATTGCGCTACATCTTGCAAGGTATCAAGCCTAGCACATTTGAAGAACTTGCAACTCGTGCCCACGACATGGAATTGAGCATGACTTCCGCTGGAAATGAAAGGCTACCCATCTATGAAACTCGCAAAGTGAATGACAAGCAAGAAGTCGGGAAGTGGGGCAAGTTCCCAAGTCTGAAAGCAAAGAAGCTATGAATGTCAATACGTCACTTGTGAAGTTCAAGACGAAGGAGAGCAAGAAGCAGAGTATGAAATTCACTTCGTTTCAAGATAAGCCAAGTGGAAAGCTGACTCTAAAAGAAATGCAAGAGAAAGAGTACCCATTCCTGGATTTTGATGTGCCCGCCATTTTCGAAGAACTCCTCGAGTTAAATCTCATCGAGCTTCAGGAGATGAAGCAACCAAATGAAGTTGGGAAAACAAATGACCCAAACTACTGCAAATATCACCGACTTTTAAGCCACCCTCTAGAGAAGTGCTTTATCTTCAAGGATAAAGTCATGGACTTGGTTGGCGAAAAGAAGATCGTGCTTGAAGATGAGAAAGCAAGCGCAAACCAAGTCTCTATCACCTTTGGCACATTCAGTCCCGATGAATTATGTAATTTTAAAGAAAGTAAAAATGAAGAATTACTGGAGAGCGACAAAGCTGAAGTCAAACAACCTGATGATGATGAAGGTTGGACGTTGGTGAATCGTCGTAGGCGCCACAAAAGGAGCCCACAAAAAGAATTAGTGGAACAACCAACAAGGAAGATGATGGTCAAAAGACCAATAAAAAAGAATCCAGTTAGGCATTTGAAGAAAGCAAAAGTGAAGATGCACCACCCTCAAAAGCCACGAAATCCAGTGACTTTGGAGGAGTTTTTACCAAGTTGGTTTCGCACGAAGATTTCCCATGAGGGCATTGGTGCCTCTTGTTGCCATGCTGACAAAGGGAAAGAAAAGAGTGATGACCTACCATTGGCACCATCTTCGGAAAAGCCCATCGAGTCCACTCCTCAAGAAGTTAATGCTTGTGAGAAAAAGGTCACGTTCATAAATGATGATCTTTTGCTAGGTGACACTCCTCATAACTGCCCATTGTACCTGGTTGGCTATATGCGCGATGAAAGGGTAAATCGGATTTTGGTTGATGGAGGATCCTCAGTGAACATTTTGTCAATCCATATTGTGAAAGAACTTGATATTCCCATGAACGAACTCTCAGAAAGTCGTGTGATGATCCAAGGATTTAACCAAGGGGGGCAAAGAGCCATAGGCGCGATCAGGCTGAGAATCACTATTGAAGATATGCAATCAAGTGCATGGCTGCATGTGATCGACGCGAAGACTTCATACAATGTTTTGCTTGGGAGGCCTTGGATACATGAGAATAAAGTTGTTCCATCTACCTACCATCAATGTTTAAAATACTACGAGGGTGAAGTCGAGAAGACGGTAGTTGCTGATGATGAGCCATTCACCGAGGCTGAGTCACACTTTGCCGATGCAAAGTTCTACTTGAAGAACCGCATTGTGAAGGAGCTGAAAGTTGATGATGGTACGAAAAGCAAGAATGACAAACCCATAACTAAAAGAGCTGATGTGACTATTGGTAAAGCCAAAACTGTTACTAAGGAGGTACCTGCCTACGTGAGTAAATCTCATAAAGGGGGTATTGCTTCTTATGGAAAGAAAGTAAGTCCCGCGCTCCAATATATCCCTAAAAGGAAGAAAGACGAGGGCGGATCACATAATCTCCAAACCAAGATGCTAAGGGAGTTAACTCTTCCGGTAAAACGAATTGAGGTAGTAAAGTTGTCCTCAAAGCCGCTTGCAGGGTTTGTAGCCCAAAATCGTTTGCAGAATGTGGCGCTCTCTACAAAACGAACAGATGAAGGTTTCGATCCTAATGCTTACAAGCTATTTGCAAAAGCTGGATACAATCCCAACGAGCCGTCAAAGTTAGGGAAGCTCCCATCAGAAGCTGCAACAAGGCAACCCCGTGAAGGTCTGGGATACAAGCAACAGTCACCAGTGCGCATCTCAATAAGAAGGGCAAGTAACAATTATATCACTGTAGAAGACGAATCTGCCGCTTCTAATAGGCCTTCTGTCTTTGATCGGCTTGGAAAATCAACTGTGAGAACTTCTGTATTTGAGAGATTGGGTCCATTAAAGAAGGGGAATAAATTCCAGAGAAATCATCGAAATACAAGAACACCCGCTTCACCCAAAATTCAGGAGATCTCTAAGGATTTCCAAAGTTTGGTTCCTTCCAGAATGAGGCGACAAACAAAACTGGTGGTTTCATGTGAAGAAGTACTAAAGGTAAAGCCATATACTGTGGAACGTAACAAAGATGGAGAAAGTGTAGGTTCTTCGTATCATATCACTGTACAAGGCGAGAATGGTGTTTCGTCTTCGATGGAATATAATGTGGAATTGGAGGATGTTTCGCCGTGTTATCACATATCCTTCAATGATGGGGACCCTCGAGAAGATGAAGATGCGAAAGATGCGAACTTGAAGAAGGAGTGAAGATGACAGTTGATGCCTTAAAAGAAGTTAACCTTGGCACCGAT